TAGGAAGTAAAGGGATCATCCAGTGTCTGGATTTGGAGATGCATGCCAATAAATTACTTATTCAGATGCCTTCATTGATATCCTCAAAAACACGTATTTCTGTAGCCCAGGAATCAGCTCTTGGTATACGCTGCCTCTCTCTCCCGGGTGGGAGGGTGGAGTAGTGGAAAGGACACAGGAGTTGGGCTGCCCAGGTTCAAGACCTGAGCCTCTCTTTTCAGCTGGGTGACTCTTGGCAAGTCACAGTTTGTCTTAGAATCTCTCAGTACCTTCATGTAAGAATAGTAGTGTGCATCTCAGAGGGCCATTGTGAAGACCAGCTGAGACAGCGTCATGGCTAAGGAGAATGCTTTGTAGTCACGATGGTATCCTTAGTAATAGGGTATCAACTATTCTTTATTGCTACCTATTAGACTCTAGGCACTGTTCTAAGATTTCACATCAGGACTTTTCAATAGCAGTATTACTGACATTGTTTTCTAGATAATTCTTTGTTGTTGGGGGCCTACAGGATATAGGATAGTTAGCAGCATCCCTGACTTCAACACTGGAGGCCAGTAAGGTCAATTCCTGCCCCAATCACTTGTTCTAACCAGAAGGTCAACCAGATATTGCCAAAGCTCTCCTGGGGGTGGGAGTGGGGACAGAATTGCCCCTGGCGAGAGCCGCTGCCTCACACAAGTGCTCTCATTTCATCCTCACAATTCTTCGAGGAGGGTCCTGTAACTAGTTCTGGTTTACAGATAAGGAAACTGAGGCACAGAGAGGTAAATATTTGCCCAAATAATGCTACATTAAAAATTCTTCTGAAAAAGGGAAGCTACTAAATGATTGTCATTGAGAGTCTGGGAGAGAGTGCTGATGTAATTAAGGACAGTGAAATTAAGGCTGAGTACCACGAAGCCCTGCTGCTAACCCTCTGCCATTACCTCCCGTCCCCCGGTCCCCTCATCTGTGCCGTGGGAGGGGAGAGTGGCGGGTCTCTCAGGCACCTTCTGCTGGTGGAATCCCTGCTTTCTAGCATCCCTTTCATTTCATCATTGGGTGTCTGTTTGGTCAGGATCGTGTGTCATCTTGGTAAGTCAGACATGACCCTGGCTCTTCAGACACACTCAGCATTACAGCTCCCTCAAAATGGGAGCTGTAGGCATGTAGGGGTTGAGCTTTGTCCTGCCCAGCCCTTTGCTCTGCAGATGGATGAAGTGGGAGGCAGAACTTGAAAAGTATTTGCCTAGAATCATGTAGCAAGATAGCATCGAATGCAAGAGGCAGCCAGGTGTTGTCCAAGTCCACACTGCCTTTCTTGTTGGCCTTTGCAGCCTGGCCTCTTAAAAAACTTGTCTCTTCTCACTTCTCCAGTCCCTTTCCTTCCATCCTCTGTTCAACCTGCTCTAACCAGAACATGGAAACAGAAGTAAGCAGTGAACTAGGCAGGTCCAAACCAAGCCAAGAGCTGTGTGTTGACCAGCCAATGAGGAAGCTGCATGTGGGAGAGAACATGGTAAACTATGTCTTCTCCTCTGCGTGCCTGTGTGTGTGTGTGTGGCGCGGGTGTGCGTGTGTGTTTGTGTGTGTGCACGTGTGTGTGCGTGCGTGTGTGTGGTGGGGGAGATTGGTATTTTAGTTATTGGACAAATATTTGTCTAGCACTATGTGCCAAACACCAACTTAAGACATTTATAAGAATTTCATTTTCTCTGAGGCCTAGGCTGAGATTTTCAATTAAATTCACATGAATCTATTGCATCTCTTTTTTTCATTTCCACCTGGGTAGTCAGGAAAACACATTAGATACATTTTTAAAAATTAAAGTTAACACAGAGTGTTATAAACTTTGAGAGAAGCAATAATTCTGAGTTGCAGTAGTAATCACAGCAACAACCCCAGATACCGCATTTATTGTTTCTTACCAAGCATCGTAAGTTACGTCAATCATTGGTTTTAACTATATTGTGTTATAATTTGGACTTTGGTAACTAGGCTTCAGTCACTGGTTTTAACTATACTGTGTTGCAATTTGGACTCTGATAACTACGCAGATACAAACCAACAAAATAGCACATAAAACCACATGGAACAAAAAGCAAACTACACTCAAATATGCATTTTCTGGAGCCAATCTGATATTTAACTGGGATAAGACATTCTAAATAGCAATTGAAATATTGATATACCAGCATGTCATGAAATAAATGTTTTTCCCAACTCTGAAGACATTCTTTTTCTCATGCAAAATTTACCAAAAAAGACAAAAAAAACCAAAAACAAACAAACAAACAAAAAACGCGAGGCACTGTGGCTCACACCTGTAATCTCAGCACTTTTGGAGGCCGCGGTAAGCAGATCATGTGAGGTCAGGAGTTCGAGACTAACCTGGCCAGCATGGTGAAACCATGTTTCTACTAAAAAGACAAAAATTAGCTGGGTGTGGTGGTACATTCTCTTGCCTCAGCCTCCCGAGTAGCTGTAATCTCAGCTACTCGGGAGGCTAAGGCAGGAGATTCACTTGAACCCAGAAAGTGGAGTTGCAGTGAACTGAGATCGCAACATTGCACTCCAGCCTGGGTGACAAGAACAAAAGTCCTTCTCAAAAACAAAAACAACAACAAAAAAACCCCAAAACCCTACAAAACCAACCCAAATTCGTAGTAATGAGAATTTTCATTTTTTTTTTAGTGATCAGCACCTAAAATGTATTTTAAAATGCTCATTTTGATGGCCAGGCAACGTGGCTCACATGTGTAATCTCAGCACTTTGGGAGGCAGAGATGGGTGGATCACCTGAAGTCAGGAGTTCAAGACCACTCTGGCCAATATAGTGAAACCCTGTTTGTAGTAAAAATAAAAAAAAAAGAGTCACGTATGGTATCTGAAACCTGTAGTTTCAGCTACTTGGGAGGCTGAGAGAGGAGAATTGCTTGAACCTGGGAGATGGAGGTTGCAGTGAGCTGAGATGGCACCATTGCACTCTAGCCTGGGTGACAGAGTGAGACACTCAGTCTCAAAGAAAAAAAAATACTCATTTTAATTTAGACTAAAGCTGCCTGGCCAAAAGATGGTCTGTGGCTAGAAGAGGAAGGACAAATAAGAAAACATAAATGATTCAAATAGCACTCCATGTACAAAAACATTAAGAGGCAGACATTTCTTAATTTCAACTTTTTGTTAGAAATTAGTAGGTCACAAATGGTCCTCCAGGGAGCGCTCTGAGGCTCTGTCACTAGTCTTTCAGTTAATAAAGAGAGAAGGCCCTGGAACTGAGCCTATAGGATTTTAGCGCTGACACACCCCACGCACCCACCCAGGCTTTCTCCTCTGAGCAGCACAGAAGAGGCCCCGGAAGGCCCCGTGTAAATACCTGCGAGCTGGGACACCTAGTCATCCACAGGGCCCTGCCTCCCGTGCGGGAGATCACAGCCGCAAACACAACCTTCTCAGCTCGCAGATGCACAGCCTCCGTCTTCTCCAGCATCCTCCCCTTGCAGAGCCCGCGAGCCTGAATGCAGTCCGTTTCGATCCTGTGCTAGCACAGCCCTGCCGCCTAGGGGGCCCCAGTGTGCCCCGGAGAGGAGGGGCTCAGGGCGGGGCCAGACCACAGCAGCCCCCTAGGCTCCCCCCGATGCGCGCTTTAGTAGTCTCGGCCAGGGGCGCTCACACTGCAGTCTGCGCCAGAGCCGCAGCGGAACGTGGAGGACCCGGAGGACCTGGGCGGGTATCCTTAAAGCGCGAATCATGTTGCTGCTGAGGCTGTGAACTCAGCACCGAAACCTAGCTGGGTGTCCCGACCCTGCAGACAGCAGTGAACGACCTCGGTGGCCATCAATACCCTGTGGATTGCGGCGCTCCAGCAGCCATTTACTGAGACCTGGTTGGGTGTCGCTACCCTGCTGATGGCTGCGGAGGACCAGGGTGGGTGACAGTACCCTGCGGATCATGGGAATGCTGAAGCCGCGCGCCGAGACCTAGCCTGGTATCTCCCCTGATGCTGCGGAGGACTTGGGTGGGCGTCAGTATCCTGCGGATCACGAGGATGCTGAAGCTGCGCACCGAGACCTAGCTGGGTATCTCCCCTGCGGAAGGCTGCGGAGGACCGGGGTGGGCGTCAATACCCTGCAGATTGCGGCACTCCTGCAGCAGCGCAGAGACCTAGCCGGGTGTCTCCGGTGCAGAAGGCTGTGGAGGACCCCAGAGGGCGTCAGTACCCTGTGGATTGCGGCACTCCTGCAGCTGCGCAGAGACCCAGCTGGGTGTCCTCCCTACAGAAGGCTCCAGAGGACTTGGGTGGCCGTCAATAACCCTGCGGATCGGGGGATGCTGGAGCTGCGCGCTGAGACCTAGCTGGGCGTTCCTACCCAGCTAATGGCTGCGGAAGACGAGGTGGGCATTAATAGCCCACGTACCTCGGAGGTGCTGAAGCCGCACACTAAGACCTAGCCGAGTGTTCCTACCCTGAGGAAGGCTGTGGAGACCCGGGCGGGCGTCAGTACCCTGTGGATTGCGGCACTCCTGCAGCTGCGCAGAGACCTAGCTGGGTGTCTTCCCTGTGGAAGGCTGCAGGGGATCCGGTGGTCGTCATTACTTTGTGGATCCCAGGATACCGACGCAGCTCACTGAGACCTAGCTGCGCGTACTCCCCTGCCGACGGCTTCGGAGGACCTGGGCGGACGTCGTTACTTTGTGGATCCGGGGATATTGAAGCAGCTTAGTGAGACCTAGCTGTGCGTCCTCCCCTGCGGAAGGCTGCGGCCAACCCCGTGGGTGTCAGTACCCTGTGGATTGCGGCGCCCCTGCAGCTGCGCAGCGACCTAGCCGGGTGTCTCCGGTGCAGAAGGCTGTGGAGGACCCCAGAGGGCGTCAGTACCCTGTGGATTGCGGTGCTCCTGCAGCTGCGCAGAGACCTAGGCGGGTGTCTCCCGTGCGGAAGGCTGCGGAGGATCCAGAGGGCGTCAGTACCCTGTCGATTGCGGCGCTCCTGCAGCTGCGCAGAGACCTAGGCGGGTGTCTCCCGTGCAGAAGGCTGCGGAGGATCCAGAGGGCGTCAGTACCCTGCAGATTACGGGGCTTCTGCAGCTACGCAGACACCTAGCCGGGTGTCTCCCGTGCGGAAGGCTGCGGAGGATCCGGAGGGCGTCAGTACCCTGTGGATTACGGGGATCCTGTAGCTACGCAGACACCTGGCTCTGTGTCTCCCATGCAGTAGGCTGTGGAGGATTCGGAGAGCGTCAGTACCCTGCGGATTACGGGGCTCCTGCAGCTACACAGACACCTAGCTGGGTGTCTCCCCTGCGTAAGATCTGGAGAGTGTCAGTACCCTGCGGATTATGGGGCTCCTGCTGCTGCGCAGACACCTAGTCGGATCTCCCCTGCCGAAGGCTGCGGAGGATCCAGAGGGTGTCAGTACCCTGAGGATTATGGGGCTCCTGCAGCTGCGCAGACACCTGGCTGGGGGTCTCCTGTGCGGAAGGCTGCGGAGGATCCGGAGGGCATTAGTACCCTGCGGACTACGGGGCTCCTGCAGCTGCGCAGACACCTAGCTGGGTGTCTCACCTGCGGAAGGCTGCGGAGGATCTGGAGCGCATCAGTACCCTGACGATTATGGGGCTCCTGCTGCTGTGCAGACACCTAGCCCGGTCTCCCTGCGGAAGGTTGCGGAGGACCCGGAGGGCGTCAGTACCCTGAGGATTGCGGCTCTCCTGCAGCTGCGCAGACACCTAGCTGGGTGTCTCCCCTGCGGAAGGCTGCGGAGGATCACGGAGGGCTGCCAAGGAACACGGAGGGCTGCCGAGGAACACGGAGGGCTGCGGAAGATCACGGAGGGCTGCGTAGGATCACGGAGGGCTGCGTAGGATCACGGAGGGCTGCGTAGGATCACGGAGGGCTGCGTCAGTACCCTGCGGGTTGCGGCACTCCTGCAGCTGCGCACTGAGACTTAGCTGTCTTACCCTGCGATGGTGTTGGAGAACCCTGGTGAGCGTCTTTACCCTGTGAATGGCCTGGCGCTGCTGAAGCCCCGCAGAGAATTAGCTGAGTGACCTCCTCTGTACACGGCTGTATAGGATTTGGGTGGGCATCATCACCTGTGGATTACGGGAATGCTGTAGCTGCGCATGGAGACCTAGCTGGTATCCTCCCCTGCTGACGGCTGCGGAGGGTGAGGGGATGGGAGGAAGCATCAATGCTTTGTGCATCGCGGAGATGCTGAGGCCATGCACGAAGATCTAACTGGGTGTCCCTACCCAGGGGACGGCTGCGGAGGACCTGGGCAGGCGTCAGTATACTGTGGATGGTGGTGCTGTGAAAGCTGTGCATTGAGACCTAGCTGGGTGTCCCTACCCTGCGGATGGCAGTGGAGAACCCTGGGGGGCATTTTTACCCTATGGATTGCCTGGTGCTGCTGAAGCTGCGCGCAGACCTAGCTGAGTTTTTTCCCCTGCGGAAGCCTGCGGAGGACCTGGGCGGACTCTTTACCCTGTGAATTGCGGGGCTGCTGAAGCTGCGCACTGAGACTTAGCTGGGTGTCTTCCCCTGTGGAAGGGTGCGAAGAATCTTGGTAACTTTGGGTGGCTTCTGCAGATCGCGGGTACGCTGACGCCTCGCGCTGAGACCTAGCTGAGTGTCCTCCCCTGTGGATAGCTGCGGAGGACCTGGGCGGGCTCTTTATCCCATGGATCGCAGAGCTGCTGGAGCCCTGCACTGAAACGTGGCTGAGTGTTCCCCGCCCCGCAGATAGCTGTGGAGGACCCCGGCGGGCATCTTTACCCTGTGGATTGTCTGGCGCTGTTGAAGCGCGCACTGAGATGTAGCTGAGCGTTCCCTACCTTACAGGTTACCAGCTGCAGAAGACCCCGGCAGACGGGAGTCCTTATTGTGGATTGCCTGGTGCCGCTGAAGCCTGCTGTGAGACGCAGCTCAGCGTTCCCCGCCCCGCAGATAGCTGCGGAGGACCCCGGCGGGCATCTTTACCCTGTGGATTGTCTGGCGCTGTTGAAGCGCGCACTGAGATGTAGCTGAGCGTTCCCCGCCCCGCAGATAGCTACGGAGGACGGGCGTCCTTACCCTGTGGATTGCCTGGCGCTGCTGAAGTCCGCACTGAGACCTAGCTGAGCGTTCCCTACTCGGCAGTTAGCTGTGGAGCACCCCGGCGGGCATCTTTACCCTGTGGATTGCCTGGCGCTGTTGAAGCGCGCACTGAGACGTAGCTGAGCATTCCCTACCCTAAGGATAGCTGCGGAGGACCCCAGCCGGCAGGCGTCCTTACCCTGTGAATTGCGTGGCGCTGCTGAAGCCCTGCACTGAGATCTAGCTGAGCATTCCCTACCCCTCAGATGGGGCAGAGGACCCCGGCGGGCGTCCTTGCCCTGTGGATTGCCTGGCACTGCTGAAGAGTGCTCTGAGACCTAGCTGAGCATTCCCGACCCTGCTGTTGGCTGTGGGGGACCTGTTGAGTGCCTTTACCCTATGGACTATGGCAAGGGTGAGACTGCATTCCTTGATGGGCATTCTTATCCTTCAGATGGGGGCAATTCTGTGGCTGTTCATTGAGGATATGAGCTAGTGTCATTCCCTGTAGGACTGTGGCATGTCTGTAGCCACGCACCCAGGACCTGGGTAGGCATCATTACCCTGGGAGCAGTGGCAGAGCTGTGACTGAGAACGAGGACCCAGGCAGGCTCCTCACTGCGGACTGCAGCACAGCTGTGGTTGTGCACCAAGGACCCACTCAGACAGGCTTTCTTACCCTGTGGACAGCAGCTTGGCAGCCACTGGGTGCCAGCAACTGGGACGGTGTTCTTACCCTGTGGACTGTGGCACAGCTGGGGCTATGCACCCCAAGACCCAGCTGGGCATTCCTATCCTGCTGACTGTCGCACGTCTGTGGCCAGGAGTTTTTACCCTGCAGACAGCAGCACAGCTGCGGCTGCACCCTAGGCACCTAGACGGGTTCTGTTATCTTGTAGGCTGTGGCAGCACGGTGGCACACACCCACAATGCAAGCGGGTATATTATGCTGTGAATGGCAACACAGGCTGAGCAGCCATGACCCAGGTGGGAGTGCTAACTCTGGGGGAGTCCTTACCCCTTGGATGGGGGCACAGCTATGGCTGGCACAACTCAGGTGGGCATCTTTACCCTGCCGACAGTGGCAGGGGTGCACATGGAGGACTCAGGTGAGTGTTCTCATCCTGTGGACTGTGTTACTGCTGTGGCTGTGTACTGAGGAGCTGGGCAGGCGTTCCTCCTCTGCTGACTGTGACACAGCACCAGCTGCACCGAGAACCAGGGCAGGTGTCTTGACTCTGTCACCTGTAGCCCTGCTGCAGTGCCCAAGAACCAACTTGGAGCCAGGCAGAGGAGGTCCCTCCCCTCCTGACTGCAGCGCACCTCCACCTGTGCCCTGAAGACCTGTGTGAGCATCTTTGCCCTGCCCTGCGACATTGCTCTGGCCATACACCAACGACCTGGACAGGTTTTCACACCCGAAGCCCAAGCGTCCCTTCCGTTGGTTCCTGTGGCTGATGCAGCCAGCTGTGCACTGTGAGCTGCTGCAGGAGGAGCTGCAGAGACATGTTCTTCTTGACTTCTCAGTGTAGGAATGTCTCACGTCCAGTCCACGTTCCTGTCGTGGTCCTCCTCTCTGCTCTTTCTACGCTTCCTCCACAGTGGTCTCCTGCACACTCACGGCTGTGGCACCAGAGGAGGGCATCTTCTGCATTTCTGAATTCCAGGCACCCCTCTCCACCTGCTACTCACTGTCTCCACTGGGTGTCTTCTGGTCATCCCTCGCTCAACGTGACTGTTGGCTTACTCCCAGCTGGCTTTGCAGTTTCCCTTGCTGTGTTGACGGCAGTTCCATCCTTCAGTGGCTTAAGCCGGATACCTTAGAGTCATTCTTGACTCTCTTCAACTTCATACCGGTTCCTCAAGTGGATTCTGTTTCTTCTATCTCTAAAATGTATCCAGAAGCAGCTACTTCTTGCCTTCTTTCACGGATTCAGGCCACTATTTGCACCCACTTGGATTATTGCAATAATTTCCTGACTGGATTCCACGTTTCCAGCTTTTCTGTCTGCAGTCTCTTTTGTTTTCGACATGTGGCTGGAGGGATGCTGTTATCATCTCAGTGAGATGTATCATTGGCTCCCTAGCTGCTCAGAGTAAAATCTCAACTTTTTACAATGGCCTGAAAGGCCCTCCATAACCCTGCCCCCTCCCACTTACCTACCTGTCTCCTCTCCTCCCTCCGACACTCAGCCCTGTGTATTTTAGCTACTGAAGGAATATGTGGGCACGCTGCTAATTTATTGTCTTCACGGAGGCTTGAGTTGTGCATTCACTATTTCAAACATTTACGGGTGGACTCTGGCAATCAACAGTCATATGAGTCCCCCCTGCAAATGAGGGAGTGTACTAGGTGCAATGTATGTCCTCCGTCACGTGGTTTGCCCTTGATACAGAGTCAACCAGGTAGTACTGTTGGTCCTGCTTTGTAGCTGAGGGAGCTTAGACCCAGAAAATGAAGGAAGTTGCCCAGAGTTACATGCTAGGAAGTGGTGGAGCTGGGATTCAAACTCAGAGTTCAGGCTTTGTCTCCATCTCGGAGAGGCTTCCCTCTTCCTGAAATGCTGTTCCCCGGTTATCTGCGAGGCTGCAGTCCTCCCCTCTTTCAGGTCTTTGCTGAATTAGAACCTTCTCCTTAAGGCAGGGCTGATGCTGAGCACCACATTTAAAATTTTCTGCTCTCCCAGGACCCCTTCTCAGTCCCTCTGCTTGGCTCATTTCAGGTTTCTGGCATGTCATGCCCTTTAATAAATATTGCAAGTGTTTCTCCATGAGTGTAAGAAAGTTTTTGTTTGTTTGTTTGTTTTTGGTGGGGTTGATTTTTCATGGCCCAGGGTTTCTTTGGGTCCTGTCTGGAGGCCTGAAGGCCATGCTGGGCTTCTGGGGAGTGGGTCCCCTTCCTGCGGCCTCCCTCCTCCCTTTCGTGTTTCTCACTCCTCTGTGTCCCTGGGAAATGTTGCTGGATAAAGATGCAGCTTTTAATTAATGCAACTGTTCAAGATTACAGCCAATCATCAGCTTTCTAACCAGTGCCTCATGGCTCTGCTGGAAAGAGCCTTGCTCTGGTGATGGTTAATTTGCTGCCATTCCCTGTCCCAGACCAGAGAAGGTCCCCTCACTGTCAACATTCCATCTGTCAGGTGCATGTTATAAAACTGCCTTCATGATCAGCTCATTCACGCACCAGCTTTAGGTTCTAGGAACTGCCAGCCATGGTGTTGAAGACCTGCTCGAGCTGAGCCTCCAGCCAGACATCTGATGTTCACATCTCAGGGCTCCTTGTTGCTTGTGTAGCCTGAGAGCTATGGCCGTGGCAGGTAAACCCTGGTATGGAGTTTGGAAAGAAGAGACCCTTTATTATTGTAGCACGACCACTGGATTGGGCTTCTGGAAATCCAATTCTAATCAGACTTGGGTTATGCATTTACTATTTAAATAAAACATTTATGGGTGGACCCTGGTAATCAACAGTCAAGTTTTCGGTACTCACTGCCAGGTGAGGAAATGTACTAGGTGCGGTCTACATCCTCACGTGCCATGTTCTTGGTACAGAGCCAGCTGGGTGATCCTGTTTTGCAGGTGAGGGAACTTAGACTCAGAAAATGAAGGACGTTGCCTAGAGTTACACGTAGGGAAGTGGTGGAGCTGGGATTCAGACTCAGAGTGCAGGCTTTGCCTGTGTGGTAGCGTAGACATCCTGCCTGCCAAGGCACCGTGCTCAGTACTAGGTGGGATATGAATGCCTACAGGACGAGGCCCTCTTCTTGAGGACTTCCCTTTCCTCCCCTTCCCTCCCCCCTACTCCCCTTCGTTCCTGTGTACCTGTCAGGTCACTGGTAGGTAGCAGGCACATTGGGTAGTGAGGATACACAGTGGAATGAGAGGCTGTCACAGTGCTCTAGCTAACAGGGTAGCCAAAGGCAAGACATTTCCATTTTCTGACCTTTCCTTTGGCAGCTTCTGGATGCTAGTGGGTGGGAGGTGTGAGGGATGTTGAGTTTGAGGTGTGCAGTGACAGCATGTGGCTCTCAGAGCCAGACTCACCTGCTCGTGTCTATGCTGTTGCACCCACGGGCTGCCTAACGTGTTGGTGGAAACCCAAGCATGAGTTTCTTCTGCAAAATGGAAGATGACTGCCCTTTTGTGCTCCTGTGATGAGTCATATTGTGGGTGCTCCTCCCTGCAGGCAGCTGCCCCTCAATGAGCGGTGCCCATTGCTATTTGGAGGTGACCACCATGTCTCCTCCAGCCAAAGAATTTGGCAATTCTAAGTTCAGAGTGGTGGGTGTAGGTGAGAGAGCCAATCCGCAGGGCGAAGCTGGTCCAGAGAGACGAGTGTGCAGAATGTGCCAGGTAGTCAGAGTGGAGATGGTCTAGGTGTGCCCTCCGTGACCTCAGCTCTTCAAGGGAAGGGAAGCCATCTGGGGAGAGGGTCGGTATGGAGCCTTTCCTGCACTGGCTGGGATGTCCTGAAGGGAACTTCCTCAGACTTCACTATCTGTGCCATGCAGACTCCAGGGGGAGGTTTGGAAAGAAAGCAAGAGTAATGAGGACGACTGCTAGTGAAGGAAGTTAGGGGTACGGCCGCGGTTGGGGTTCTGAAGGCCAGCGCTGCCTGCCATTGTCAGGTGACCTCAGGGAGGAACCTTGTCTCTGGAGGGCTCAGCTTCTCTCTCTGTCCAGTGAGGGGTCACATTTGGCCTCTAAATTCTGTGCAGCTTTAAACAAAAACACTGTTTTTTCTATCTGAAGCCTTTTTTTGTTGTTTTGAGACAGAATCTCGCTTTGTCACCCAGGCTAGAGTGCAGTGGTACGATCTCAGCTCACTGCAACCTCCACCTCTTGAGTTCAAGCAGTTCTCCTGCTTCAGTTTCCTGAGTAGCTGGGATTACAGGTGCATGCCACCTCACCTGGCTAATTTTTAGTATTTTTGATAGAAATGGGGTTTCACCATGTTGGCCAGGCTGGTCTTGAGCTCCTGACCTCAAGTGATATGCCTGCCTCAGCTTCCCAGAGTGCTGGGATTACAGGCGTGAGCCGCCACACCCGGCCTGAAGCTTTGAAGCTTTGTTTCTAATAGTTGTTGGACTTTAAGAGCTTGTTCTTTAGGTCACCATCTGCTGGGAATCATCCACTATTCCCAAGACCAGGCAAGGAAGATCAGTAGAACTGCAGCCTCACAGGAACCCCATAGTGACTTCTTGCAGATTCACATCCAGGGAAAGCAGAGAACATGAATCTGTGTCGGGAAGTGTTGGACAGAGGCCACAGGGAAAGGTCCTTATCTCAGGTTTTGGAGGTCCTCAGATGGCAAGGATTTTTGAGTGTTTGGGGATGGTTTTTGTGCAGGCTGATAAGAGGAAGATGAGCAGGAGTGCATTCTGGAAAGCTTTTTAAAAATTCTATTATAAATGCAGTAATGATTATTGAACTGATACTTGCATTAGGCCATGTACTAAGTACTTCATGTGCTGCCTAATTTGATTTCATAATAATCTTGAAGTAAATGCATTATCCCCATTTAACAGATTAGGAAAATGAAGCCTAGAGGGCATAAGTGCTCATAACTCCTAGGTGACTGAGCCAGAAATCAAGATCTCTCTGAATCTGAGTCCTTTTCTCTTAACCCTTATGCTGAATTTTAAAACAAATACAAAAATATGAAAACTACAGAAATAGGTGAAAAAGCCACCATTATTTCCAGCAACCAGACATGACCACACTGAGATGTTTTCTCCTCTTCATCCCTTTGTCACCAGAGGCAGGCAGTAGTAACTTTTGGCCTCAGTAGGGTGGGATATGGGGAAAGAGAAGTGTTTGGGGGGGCAGTCAGCCCGTGGTTTGATTCTGGACTCATTAGCTGTGTGTTCTTGGATAAGTTACTCAGTCTCTCTGATTCCTTTTCTCATTTGGAAAATAAAATGATATATATATTTTAGGTGCTATATGAACTATGGCTGGGCGCGGTGGCTCACGCCTATAATGCCGGCACTTTGAGAGGCTGAGGTGGGCGGATCACCAGAGGTTAGGAGTTCGAGACCACCCTGGCCAGCATGGCAAAACTAAAGTTTTCTATTAAAACTACAAAAATTAGCTGAGTGTGCTGTTGGGCGCCTGTGATCCTAGCTACTTGGGAGCCTGAGGCAGCAGAATTGCTTGAACCCAGGAGGTGGGGGTTGCAGTGAGCCGAGATCTCACCCTTGCACTCTAGCCTGGGTGACAGAGCAAAACTCCATTTCAAAAAAAAAGTAAGAAAAAAATGGAACAATTGATTAAATAATGTCTTTTATTAGTAAAGTACATAACTAATGGTGGCTTCCATCAATATTTTGGTAATAAAAAGGTTTTTAGTTTCTTTTTTTTTTCTTTTCTTTCTTTTTTTTTTTTAGTGCTTGGGAATCAGCTAAGTAGAGCTGGCTGGCAGGAAGAGGGAGGAGTTTCTGGTCTAAGGAGATAGCAGAGGTCTGGGCTGGGGGTGGTCAGGGTCTGTGGCTGAATCGTCGGGTAGCCGTGGGACTGGTGGGAGGTGGGTCTGCAGAGGTGGGATGGGCACAACTGTGGAAGGCCTTGGAAGCCAGGCTGGGGTTGGCCTCTGTCCCCGGGCAGTAGGGAGCCACCGACAGTTGAGAGGAGACTGCTGGGTAGAGCAGTCCTGGGTTGAGGACACTTTTTAATTCTCTGTTATTTTTGTAACTTAATCTCAGCAGGCAGGACAGCAGATCAGAACCCTTTGAAGCCAACTTCAGAGGCCCCTCTTGCCCCTGCTGCAGCTGACTTCCTGCTGTCTTTCATCTCTGCTGTTATCTAGATCACTGCAGTTAATTATTCCTCCAAATATTAGCTCCATCCTCGACTTTATAATGAGGTTTTCCATCATCTTCCAAAGAGAACCTCCTGCTTTCTACAGGAAATACCCATGGTAGCAACATTGTGGTGCCTAAGAAGTAGAGGCAGCGGAGTCGCTGGCCATATGCAAGTTATTTTCAAAGGGTCCTTCCTCTAAGCCAGCTCAGCTGGAAACTTGGGAGAAGTTGTTGGGACTCTGAAGCCCTGGCTGCCCTTTCCCAGAGCATGAAACAGAGGCCCCTCCAGTCAACTCAGTCTCACCCATCCCTCCTTCTGCTAGTCTTTCTTTACCACATTTATTCAGCATTTAGTGTGGGCCAGGTCTGGTATTAGGCCCTAGGGTTATGAAGCTAGCTCAGGCCATCATGGTATGATGGGTCCTTGACAGGAAGGCAAATACCCCAGGGGATGCAGGATGAGGGGGTAGGAGAGGGGGAGCCTGCAGTGGTGTGCTCGGGGCCAGGTTGCCACCTCTGAGTCGTGGGGCTTTGGATGAGCTATTGTGTCTTATGGTGCCTCTGCTTTCATTAAGAAGGGATGTGCTCTCTTATCCAGTGTTTTGCTTTTCATGACTGTTCTTATATAATTATGGTATATTGTCTGTCTCTGCACAGTCTTCTGTCAGTCTTTGAGGCTGGTCTTCAGCCTTTTGGACTCTAATCTTTCATTTTGGGAGCACTGAGAGCACTGGAGTCTCTGGGAGCAGAGCCTCACCAGTCTAGCTCCTGGAGCCAAGATCTATCACCCAGAAGCCAGCCCATTCATATGCCCTAGAAACGGGGTTTCATATGCTCCCCACTGTCTATCACATCAGCCTGTTTGCCTCCGATGCCCATGAGCAGGTGCTGGGAAGCCAAGGCCGCTCCGTGAGCCCAAGGTCGGAGCTGGGATTAATGAGATGCTTGGCTCTTTGCTCTCCTTAGCCTGGGACAGTCTCATGCACTTTGTTCTGAAAGCAGGAATGGGTGGGTACTCTCGGTGGGGGATGATGAGTTCCAGTGTAAACCACAAAGCATGCTAAGGGCCTGGCCCAGACCTCCACGCAGCCGGAGTGCCCAGGAAATCTGGAATTGTTGGATTAGCTCCAACCCCCTGGTCTCCCAGGTGACCTGGAAACAAGTCACCTGATGCCTGGTAATACGCCAGTGGAGATGAGATAATGGGTTATTTTTAAAAACTATAAGCTGTTTAATGTCAGGTGAAAAAATAAAACTTGCTCTCCACTTAGGGTTCACTCTGAACCTGGGGTGTCCAAAGAGCTGAGTTCTCTCAGCCCTGGCTCTGAGCAGGTGTGGCGCATGGCAGGAGGGCTTCCGTAGGAGCTGCTCATGGGGTGGGAGGTAGTGTCTGGTGCCAGGTGAACTGTGTGTTTCCATGTGTATGTATTGGTGTGAATATTTCCATATTATGGGCAGAACCTGAATTCATACAGACACATTCAGCTGACTTCAAAACTGGGTCAACCAAATACGTTACAGTAGCCAGTTGAGACCAACGTTATCACTGTTATGTTTGAATTTGCATAAACCTTGCCTGTGCTTATGTTTTCTTTTTCTTTTTCTTTCTTTCTTTTCTTTT